AGTGTTTTATAATGGATGCTCACCCATAGAGGAGGATCTTGTGAGGCTCAGTGGTGTTTTTGCACATATGAGCATCAGACGCGCTCTGACGGAGGAACTGTTCACTGATCCCGTCTTCATTGAACTGCCTTCAGATCGATGTGTTTCAACAGATTTAGAATGTATATTGCTGTATTTTTCATTTGTATGTTTTTTTTTTTAATGGATGCAAACAGTAGATATTCAGTCAGTCCAGTTCAAAGGGACAGGTTTAGTGAGTGATATTTTGGCATCTCCCTGTTGTCCTGTTTGGTATGGCAGGTTCACTTATTTAAGAAAAAGTATTCTGAAGTTGTAAAGCATGTAAATAATTCAGGAGATTTAAATCTCTCTCTCTCTCTCTCTCTATATATATATAGAGCGAGAGAGAGAGAGAGAGCAGAGGGTTTTTTAGTTATAAAGTATAGCTTTTATTAAAATTTTGTCTGAATTTTGAGTTTTTTTTAAATAATGCAGTAGAAGAATAATAAGGCAAAACAAATGTTTTGGTTAATAAAAAAATGGTTAAAAATAAACACTTTTCTTTTTGCTGTGGAAGTACAGTATAAGAGGAAATGTCAGGCATAGGGGGGCCTTGCAAAATTGACCGGAGAAAGAGTGGGGCCCCTGAGTAAAAAAGGTTGAGAATCCCTAATGTAGGAGACCACCGATGTGTTGTCTGTGCGAACAAGCACCTAATGTCCCCTTAGGTCTGGAAGGAAGTGTTTTAGAGCTTGAAACACGGCCAACATCTCCAGGCAGTTGATGTCCCCCGTGAGATGATGGCCTTCCCACAGACCTCGAGCAGAGCAGCCACTCATGACCGCTCCCCAACCCGTGAGGGAGGTGTCCGTTGTTAGTGTTACACGAAGACAAGAAGCCCCCAGCGACGGGCCTTGATACAGGAACCAAGGTTTCTTCCACATTTCTAAGGCACGTAAGCATTGCAGCGTGACCTTGATTGTGTGAAGCGGGTTCCCCCTTGGCCCTGAGCCACCACTGCAAGGGTCTCATGTACAGCAGGCCAAAAGTTTTCACGTTGGACGCAGCTGCCATCAGACCCAACAGTCTCTGAAACTGTTTGACAGTGAGTAACTGGCCTTCTCTCACTCCCCTCACAGCTGTGAGAATCACTTTGATATGAGCAGGAGACAACTGTGCCTGCATCGTTGTTGAATCCCACACCACACCCAAATAAGTGGTTCTCTGTAGTACACATTTCTTGGCGTTTAGCCATAACCCCAGCTCTTTCATATGGGCGAGGATGTCATCTCGATGCCGAGCCGCCATCTGCTCTGACTGAGCTAATATCAACCAATCGTCGATGTAATTCAGTATGTGGATGCCCTGGAGTCGCAACAGAGCCAGGGCAGCATGCACACACTTCGTGAGAGTGCGGGGTGAGAGTGACAGGTCAAATGGAAGAACCCGATACTGGTATGCTTCGCTCCCGAAAGCAAACCTCAGGAACTTCCTGTGTTGAGGAAGGATGGATGCATCCTTGAGATCTATCGTGACAAACCAGTCCTCGGACTTGATTTGGGACACAATCTGTTTGATAGTAAGCATCTTGAACCGAAATCGTTTGATAGCACGGTTCAGTAGACACTGATCTATGATCGGACACAACCCCCCCATCCTTCTTCGGAATGATGAAGTAACGGCTGTAGAACCCTGATTCTCTCTCAAGAGGAGAACGCGTTCTATGGCCTCCTTCCTCAAGAAAATTTCTACTTCTTGTTCCAATACCAGAGCCTGCTCGGGGCCCACTAGTGTAGGGATAACCCCGTTGAAGCGAGGTGGATGAGAACCAAACTAAATTCTGTAACCTCTGTCTACAGTGTGCAGGACCCATTGTGAGACATTTGGCAAGTTTTCACGCTATCAGAAGCTCTATTAAGGGAACAAGTCTCTCGAGACTGGCCTCTGGTGTCACTAGAGGAGCCACTTTGGAGCCCTGAAGCGAATGACCGGCAGGGAATGACCGACCTGACTGCTCTATCGCGCTCGTCTGTGGGGGCGAGCTTTCCCGTACCGTCACCGGGCGGCAACTGGAAAATTTGCTCGCAGGAGCTTCCTGAGCCCTGAAGCACCGGCGGGTGGCAGGGGTATCAGTGAAGCACCCTGAGGGCACTGAGGAGGATCGGGCATCGTATATTGAGGTGTGTATCTCTCCTCCCCAGGGTGGGCTGCCTTTAGGGTCCTGACGATGGGATTGTCAGGACCGCTTGGCCGAGGTCCTCTTGGACATAATAACGGTCCGCAGATTCACTTTCTGTTTAGAGGACCCCGACCAAGAGTGCCGCCCCTGCCCCCTGTTCTTTCTGTGGGGGGGTACGGGTCGCAACGCTCTGCTTCTGGGTCTGGCGGTATGAGGAGCTAGACGGCTGGGACTGCTCCCACTCAGCAGTCCCAAAGACCTGGGGACAGTGAGGGAGAAAGCGCTGGCTTCTTTGCCTCCTGAAACCTCTCGACGACAGTGTCTACTGCACCGCCGAAGAGGCCAGAAGGCAATAGCAGGGCATCCAGGAGGAAGAATCTGTCCTAATCTTGTAGTTCGGACAGGTTCAACCACAGGTGTCAGGATCGCGAACCTGGCCGCTTTCATGTGAGCGGGAGAAGCTTACAGTCATGACAGTCATAATAATAGAACCATTACAATAATTATGAATGTTTCTTGAGCAGCAAATCGACATATAAGAATGATTTCTGAAGGATTTTAACCCCCATAGGCTTCAGCTGCATAGAGCTTAATCTTGTATTTATTTATATAAATTGAACATTGCATTGACATGTTCAGTGTTTGTTTCTTTTTGTTTTCTTCAGGTGTTATAGCAGGAGTACTTGTGTTTTTCCTCTTGGTCATCATTATTTGTGTTGCTGTATTTGTATGGTGCCGCTATGGTTCTGCAAAGCACAATAAGTATGATTTTTATTGATTGATTGTCTTGGATTATGGGTTTATTTCATAATATAATGCAATATAAGCTGTATTGGGTTTATGTCTAATGTCTTTTCTCATCTTTAGAATGTGCAACCCACTTGTGGAGTCAAAAGTGCCTAATAAAAACTACAAGTATGTATGACTCTATTATTTTGGAAAATTGTAAAATACAGTGGCCCAAAGCAAAGCATTTGGAAGTTGACCTCAAAATTTCTCCCCATGTCATTTCCAATCCTGAGTGACTTTCTTATGTGGAACATACAGTGGGGAAAAAAAGTATTTAGTCAGCCACCAATTGTGCAAGTTCTCCCACTTAAAAAGATGAGAGAGGCCTGTAATTTTCATCTATATTTTGAGAAATGTCTTATTTTTGTGCAGTTGAGCTCAGTGATGACCAAAATTGCTTGGTTACCAACATTCTTCAGAATATCTTCTGTTATTCTTCAGAAGAAAGAAAAGCATAAAGGTTTGAAATGATGTGAGGGTGGGTAAACAATGACAGAATTTTCAGTTTTAGGTGAACTTTAGGTGAAATTGTGTGATTGGATATCAAAATGTGAAAGTGTCATGTCCAATATTTTTTATACACAAATGCACTTGCTTTATTAATATTTTGCTATCTAATGCTATGTTATTTTTGTGTATGCTAAAAGTGTCTACATGTTTGGGGCCACTGTATATGATGTCATTTTAGTGACACACACACACACACACACACACACACACATATGCATAAACATATACATATACATATATATATATAAAAGGTAAACAACTGTGAAATGTTTTTCAGACCGATTTCCTTGGATAAATTTCCTGAATATTATCAAAACATGAGTCGTGATGAGAATAGAGGTTTCAGTGAGGAATATGAGGTACGGTTTATCAAATATGAAATTACATTTTTATTATTTTTCTCTGACTGAATCTTAAGTGGCATTAAAACAGAACCAGGTCTAGCTTAGACTGTTGCAAAAAATTTAAATATTGAAAATGCCAACCTGTTTATATGTTAGAATCATCAAGTTAATTCTCAATATTCAGAGTGTTTGTTGAGTATGCTTTTACTGAATATGTTTAACTCAACAGGACTTGAGTTCAGTTGGTATAGAACAGTCTAGTATAGCAGCTCTTCTGCCTGAAAACAAGGACAAAAACCGATTTGCCAATGTTTCAGCCTGTAAGTGTTTACACACACACACACACACACACACACACACACACTGGTTTGTGTTGGACTTTCCATAGATGTAATGGTTTTTATACGGCCTTTACCTTTTATACTATCCCTTTACCCTAACTCTACTCCACAAAATCTTCTGTATTTTTAGATTTTCAAAACATTTCATTCTGTATGATTTATAAGCTCATGGGGGACTAAAAAAGGTCCACACAAGGTCAGAAATTACTGGTATTACTATCCTTGTGGGGACATTTGGTCCCCATAATGTAGGGAATACCAGGACCACACACACACAATTACTGCACAGTGTCTGTCTTGGAAAATGTAATTTTATCCTCCTCTTTCTGTCTTTAAGATGACTCCTCTAGAGTGCATCTCACCACAAAGGATGAGGGTGATTCTGATTATGTCAATGCTAACTACATGCCTGTAAGTACATTAAATAGTAGTTAACGTCAGCTGTAATTCATAACACAAAGCACTACCTCGCTTGTATCTCCTGAGAAAAGTGCTCCTGGTGGATTGACATTTGTTTATGTGCATATCAGGGCTACGGCAATGCAAGCAGACAGTATATCGCTGCTCAAGGTCCACTGCCATCCACTGTCAATGACTTCTGGAGAATGGTTTGGGAGAAAAGGTCACAGGCCATCGTTATGTTAACCAACTGCACTGAGAGTGGAAGGGTAAGGCAAAGTTCAGTTCTGCTTACTGTAGTTTCAAGTGTTTACTGGCTTCCATTTTCTTAAACACTATATGAAACTACATTATGTAGTGATGTATGAAACAGTATTATGCTACATTATTGTTGCGTGATGTTAAATTCAACGATCAGAGCTTAAAAAAATGTTTGTTTGGCATTTTCAATCCAATTTTGTGTAATAACACAGTATTTCACATAGAGTGGTTTGGTTGCATAATTTTTAGCTTGCTTCATCAGATTTGACCTCTGTACTTGGTGCAGTTATTTGAATTAATTTTTATTTTTTCTGATTTAACTTCTCCAGGTCAAGTGTGAGCAATACTGGCCACTGGACTACACGCCATGTCTCTATGGGAACCTGCTTGTTACAGTGAAATCGGAGGATAAATTTCCAAGTTGGACTCTGCAAGAATTTAATGTCAAAAATGTGAACTGAAATATTTATATTTTTCTGTTTAATGACAATAAAATGAAACATAATATTCAGAGCAACATGCCAGACTGCTTAATGTTGTCTGAAATGATTATAAATATTAAGTGTTTTTTGGGGTGCCAAAAACAGTTGCATGTTTTTTGTGACTTTACTTTTCATCCAAATTCTCTCTGGCCCTGACAGCTGTTTATGATAACTATTTATTTATAGCACACTTTTAAGCTAAAATATAAAAAATTCATGGTGTTCCATACACCAATATTTTAACAATTCAGAAAATATTAATCACGGTCTGGCAGTGATTTAAGGTCATATTTATCAGGATCGTGATTTTTCAGTAGTACTAAAGCACACTGCGAGAGTATTTTAGCACTGTTTGTTGTTTGCTTTTATGATATGATAAAGCATTTGGAAACAGAAAAGGTGACGCATGATTTCTAAACAAGTGATGATGAGAGTTAACAAGTGGATCGTTTTTAATTGCCTCTTCACATAGTAATTATCACATTGTGACAGATTATAGATGTAAAAATTAAATATTTAGAGATCTTATTCAATATAGATAATCCACTCATTTCTTGGGATCCTTCAGCAGGATCTGCAGAGCTGTAGGTGCTACACACAGTGAGAAATAGCACAAGCTTTGACAGACTTTACCACATTATACTCTTATCATTAGTTCATCTGGTATTCAGAAACATGTATTCTGCCTTCTTCTGATATGAGCCATTTAACTAGAATATGAATATATTAGCACATCACTGGTCAGATTAGCATAAGACACAATCTATTTCTGTCTATTTTTTGTCTATAACAGAAAGACACCTCCGAGACACGAACAGTGAGGCACTTCCACTTCACAGCATGGCCGGATCACGGTGTTCCCGCTGGCACAGAGGAGCTGATTCAATTCAGAGCACTCATTCGTCAGCACATAGAGAGCTCTTTCTCTGCAGGGCCAACAATTGTACACTGCAGGTATACCACTACTCACTTTGAAACCCAATTCAAATATTAACTTAACGTGAATAATCACAGTCAGTCGACTGCTGAGAGCTGACAGCAAAGCAGTATAAATAATTACATTGACAAAATAAAGCAAAGTTTTAATCCTTCTGTCACCATCTCTGTACACTAGTGCCGGAGTGGGCCGGACAGGTACCCTGATAGCGCTGGACGTCCTGCTACAGCAGCTGCACAAAGAGAAGGCGGTGGGAATTGCAGCGTTTGTCAAGCAAATGAGACTCAGCCGGCCACTAATGGTGCAAACTGAGGTAACGCTGATTTAGATACATAATTGTAAAAAGGATTTACTTTTAGAGCAATTTAGCATAGAATTGGGTTCTAGGTGGTGGTATTATTATTGTGGCGATTATTTTGAAAATGATGAATATAGCCTATTTGGGCTATGGATAGCTTTTTTCCTGGAGGATCCAAACACTTAAAAAAAGGCTGCTGTGGTCACCAGAATTTTACTGTCAAAATTCCATCTCAGACTATATATTTTACGGTATGTAACCACATATGTGACCCTGGACCACAAAACCAGTCTTAAGTCGCTGGGGTATATTTGTAGCAATAGCCACAAATACATTGTATGGGTCAAAATGATTGATTTTTCTTTTATGCCAAAAATCATTAGGATATTAAGTAAAGATCATGTTCCATGAAGATATTTTGTAAATTTCCTACCATAAATATATCAGTTGATTTTTGATTAGTAATATGGATTGCTAAGAACTTCATTTGGACAACTTTAAAGGCAATTTTCTCAATATTTAGAATTTTTGCACCCTCAGATTCCAGATTTTCAAATAGTTATATCTCGGCCAAATATTATCCTATCCTAACAAACCATACATCAATGGAAAGCTTATTTATTCAGCTAGTTTTGTGGTCCAGGGTCACATATATCATGGAATAATGCAAAAATATCAAACTACTTAAACATTTATGTACTAATAAACCACTGTGCTTTTGGAAATTTATCAAAGCGGCATTCTTTGAAAACATTCTAATTTATATAACTAGTAGCAATAAAACAAATAATATAAGATATATTCTTTTACCGTTTATCCCAAGTTTTTTTCCCCATTATTCCATATATACATACAGTGATGTTACTGCTAATTCTACAATTAGGTTTTAAGACTTGACAGCAGGACAATAACATTATCTGCACGTTCTTAAGGTATGGCTATTTTGAGTTAAAAGGACATTCTTTGTTCTAACTAAAACATTCTAATTTATATAACTAGTAGCAATAAAACAAATAATATAAGATATATTCTTTTACCATTTATCCCAAGTTTTTTTCCCCATTATTCCATATATACATACAGTGATGTTACTGCTAATTCTACAATTAGGTTTTAAGACTTGACAGCAGGACAATAACATTATCTGCACGTTCTTAAGGTATGGCTATTTTGAGTTAAAAGGACATTCTTTGTTCTAACAGGATGGCATCTGTATTTTTATAATTATTACATGTTATGTAATTACAGGTAATAATTGTATCACTTGGAAATAAGGAAATGCGTATTCCTGGCAGACACTCTTTACTTTCATCTGTTTTATGCTTATCTCTCTGTCTCTTACAGTCTCAGTATGTGTTCCTGCACCAGTGCATCATGGATAGTCTACAACCCAAAGCTGGGCCTAAGTCAGAGCCTCTCTATGAAAACTCAGACATGATCTATGTCAACGCAATAGCATTAAAAGATTATGACAAACAAAGTCAAATATGAACAAATATAAGCCATATCATATGGTCCAATGGCCCATTTCAAATACATACCCTTCAAAAAATAAAAACTGAAAGCCTAATCCATGAAGTTATTATTATTAATATTATTTTAGATAAAACACTCTTCTGCTAACAAGGCTGAAAGATACTGGCCATGGTATTTTGAGCCTAAGATATAAAGCACTAAATGTTTACCATTTAAACTTAACTGCCACTCTTTATTTAACTAAATAGCTGTGTATAGGCTTGTTTTTAATGTTACATTTTTGCTTGATAAACTGTGGTCTCTGAAAGGAAACTTTCCTTTATGCTGTACTAAGTGCTGCTTATTTTGCACATTGCTTTTAAATGAGAATTTTATGTTAAAATTGAAATAAGAGATGGTCTATTTAATGTCAGTTGAATTTGATTTGTTTTAGATTAATACCAAAGTATTTTTCCATAATTTTTTATTTTGCCAGTGTCACGTATTCTCAGCCGCCTGTCGTATAACATGCTTTAAAGAAATAGTTCAGCTAAAGACGATGATTGTGTAATTATTTACATCAGGACTGGGTACCCCGATTTAAATAATGTCATATCTGTATGTAAAATAGAGAATGATTTTTTTCAGAGCTGCCAAGAAGGGGAAAGGTTTTGCTTCATAGATATGGTTTCTGCATACTGTTATTATATTGAAAGAACGGTGTAAACAAACATTTTGTATTTCTTAAACTACCAATCAGAGGTTAAGATTAAGTTGTGGTCACATTAGTGAAATTCCAGTCACATTCAATCAAATTTAAGCAACTTTCACATTTGCCTTCACATATTTGGGTAAATAATGTGTGTTGTGTTACCTGTTTTGGTATTTGCTGTCATGTAATTTTTTTGCACTTTTGTAAAACGAAGATTTAACTGTAACTTTTGAATACATTTACATCATGTCCTAACCAGGCATGATATGTTTCCAGCCACGAGCAATTTGTAAACAATTAACTTAAAAATGATTTAAAAAAGTACCAGGTATTAAAAGGATAGTTCACCCAAAAATGAAAATTTGATGTTTATCTGCTTACCCCCAGGGCATCCAAGATGTAGGTGACTTCAAAACTATCCCAGGAAGCTATGTAATCAGTAACGTAGTATAAAATATATGAACATTATGGCCAATATATTTTATTAAAAAGATTTAACTAATTAATTAACTGATAATAATGCACATTACAATGCATCTTTTATACTCACTGAGGCTTAGGCCTGTCACGATAACAACTTTTTGTTGTGTGATATATTGCCCCAGAAATAATTGCGATAAGATTGTCATTTTAAAGACCATTTTATGCCACTGAATATATAATCATAATGTAACAGCACAATAATGCAAGAAGGCCTACACACTTCCAAATAAGGCTTCATTTATTTGATCAAAAATAATATTGTGAAATATTACATCTTAAAATACCGGTTTTCTATTAGAATTTAATTTATTCCTCTGATGACAAAGCTGAATTTTCAGAAGCCATTACTCAATTTAGTCAATTTACACAGACCTAAGAACCTCTTCTCTGTTATTGATTCTGTGCTCAGTCAGTCCCCCTGTCAACATTTTTACTGATGCTTACGTATCACTGTGTGAACAATTCTGTACATTCTTTAATGAGAAAATCGTTCAATTAAGATCTAACCTGCCCTTGGGGAATTCTGTTCAACCTGAGAGATCAAGCGGTCCGATGCCGTGGAGCGATTTTCAGCCCGTTTCTTTTGAATCCTGTAAAGCCAATCCTTGAACGTCTAAGATCAACTTCATCTTCTCAAGATATCATTCCATCTAGATTTTTTAAAACAGATTTTCAATACTGTTGGACATGATCATTTAAATATATAGTTTAGTCATGAAACTCTTGATGGCACAGGCTGATGGGTTGTTAACATAACTGATGCTATTCAGAGTTAAACGACTTGGCACAAGCTGATTGGTTCATGCTGCATATGCAGCCAATGAGCTTACTGCCTTGCATTTATATGGCTGGCTAGCATTCACTAGAGATTCCTGCAGCGCACTTTCAGAGTTTCTCTGAAACTAAACAGCTAAGATAAGTAAACGGTCTTCAATTTGATTCAGTGGATTATTGTAGTGATGGGAAACCGAGGCTTTCTGAACCGTTTGAGGCTTTCACATATTGATCAATAATATAAAATATACAAGTGTGTGATTATAATTAATAATTGACGTTAGTAGCAAAAATATTTTGGGTGAGCTGTTTGGGGTCTCTGAGACCCCAGCTAGAACATGATAAAATGCAATAGAGGTGTGACGTGCGTTCAGTGTCTGTCTGGTGTTGAAGTTATTCTAAGCTATTCTACTGAATCCCAAATAAGTGCACACACACACACACACACACACACACACACGTCAATGTAAAATCAAACACAAGAGTCATGCGAAGCACCAGTTTTTTTCAAACTAGCTGTCCCGACCTTACGATAGCCTACTGCATGACGTTCAAAGTTTCAAACGTCATCAATCACGTGGTATTGTCATTTCGATACAAGCATCGGCACAGTGTGAGATACAATAGTGCTGTGAAAACTGCGTCGGAGCCTCGGTATCAATCGTCCCATTACTAGATTATTGCGTTAGTCAGATTTACATATTTAAACTAGAAAACATACAAGTTGTAAAACTATGCGCAGGTTATTCACGTGAGGAGTAATTACTAAGCATGTCTTGTTCATATAACAGCAGTAGCATTAGCAGCAGCAGCAAGCAGTTGTCCTAGTTCAATACAACGTCAAGCATCGCGGATTTAGAACAGTAAAGTGAATTGGGGATTACCTTATTTACCCGAAATTTCCAATGCTTTTGATATCTTCTGTGGGCAATCATTTCTACTTTAACCGTGAACGGATTGCTTTCAGATGCACACCTCACTGGTGAGGTCGGTTTGCAGTTGGCGTTTCACAGTTCAGGGCTCGCACAATTTCAAAATCCCTGGTAGCCCTTCGGGCAGGTACTCTTCAGATTTTGGTAGCTAATCAGTAAATTAATTTAACTAGCCCAAAACAAAAAAAATACCTTTTTTTTTTTTTTTCAAATATAGAAAATCAGATAGGAGTTTAAATGTCAATCAAAAATATATAAAAATACACAAATATCAACAAATATGAAGGAAGGAATTTTATTTCACTATTTACAGGGTATCTGCAGAATTTTTAAAAATAAATTTAAGGCAATTTATGACCCATTTTAAGAGCTGCACAAGTAAAATGAACAGTGTATGAGTGAGGTTGGACAATGTCTGCAAATTCATTGTCTGCCACGAGGGGGCGCTTGAAATATTGGGGTTTCCCCGGTAACGGCTGTACAAAAAGCAGCTCCACGCTCATAAACGCTGCTTTATCAGGTCAAATCAAATTAAAATGCCAATGACACGTTTCTGAGGACAGTCGGTTGCCTTCAGATACATTCAAATAAAGACAATTATTAATTGCAGTACGCATAGCAAATCAAAACATGCGTTTAGTTGCAGCAGCAGTAGGTAGACCGTAGTTTACATTCACATTTATTCATTTTGCAGACGCTTTTATCCAAAACAACTTACAATTACTGAAGTTTCAGTGACTAAAAATGGATGGTATGTGAACTTCTCATGCGAATAGGCATCACTTATTATTTAAAAGGGGCTTAGCAATTCTAAGTACCTTTGTGCAGCTGTAGCAGCAGTATGCATAGTTATTCAGATCGCATGTAGCGAATTTAATAGCAGCAGCTTCTATGTGTTTGCTGCGTAAAAAGGTAAAAACATGAGTTGATATTTGCATTGATCATCTGACCAGAAATAGCAAGAAAGGCTTATTGGAAATGCAAATTCATTGTCTGCCACGAGGTGGCGCTTGATTATTATTTAAAAGGGGCTTAGCAATTCTAAGTACCTTTGTGCAGCTGTAGCAGCAGTATGCATAGTTATTCAGATCGCATGTAGCGAATTTAATAGCAGCAGCATGCATAGCAAATTCATATGTAATGTTAGAAATAATATTAGCAGCAGGAAGTCAAATTGTTGCTAATATAGCAGTGGCAGCAGAAAGTACTTTAGTTGCTTGAAATGTCAGTGATAACGCATGGGTAAGTAACTCTTTTAAAGTGAAATAGGCATTATTTGATTGCGTTTGCTTGTTAATAAAGACGCTTCTAGCAATTCTAATTACATTTGTGCAGCTGTAGCAGCAGTATGCATAGCTATTCAGATCACTAATTTAGTGAATTTTAATAGCAGCAGCACGCATAACAAAATTCAGACGCAATGTTAGAATTATTAGCAGCAGTCTGCATGGCAATCCAATTATCATTGTTGCTTATATAGCAGCGGCAACAGAAAGCACATTTAGTTGCATGAAATTTCAGTGATAAGATAGTGACTTTTTAGGTGAAATAGGCATTTTATTACTTTGCTATTCAATTCAACAGAGTTTATAGAACTCTTCAAAAGTGAAATAAGCATTAATTGGTTGTTTTTGGTTATTTATAAAGGGGCAGTAGCAGTTCTAAGTACTTTAGTGCAGTAGCCAGTATGCATAGCTATTCAGATCGCAATGTTAGCAAATTTTATAGTATACATAGCAAATTCAGATGCAAGGTTAGAAATAATATTAGCAGCAGCATGCATAGCAAGTCATATTATTATTTTGCTAATATATCAGCGGCAGCAGAAAGTGCTTTAGTTGCATGAAATTTTAGTGATAAATCAGGGAGGGTAAATTTAACTCTTTAAAGTGCAATAGGCATTTATTACTTTGTTTATTCAACAGGGCTTACAGCAGGTTTCGTGCAGCAGCAGATTATGCTTCGTAAATTCTGATTAAATATTACAACCGCAACCGTTCACACAGTAAATTCCTATTACAACATTGTGAATATCATTAACAGCAACAGCATCTACTCAACTCAGTATTGACAAGTTAGTGAATATTATTATAGCAGCAGAAGCAGAAGTTTTGTTGCGTTGGCCGTATCGCATTGCATACATTGCCGACAGCTTTACCTATCGTAACGGGTCTACTGTCTTTGTCATGTCGTGCCGCTCGCGTCTGGCGTAGACACCGTGTTAGAGTAAAATAGGCATTCGCCTAGCTACTTATGCCTAATTTATGGCTCTCTCAGCAGTTCAGTCTCTTGTGCAGTAGCAGCAGCTTGCTTAGGCATTAAGTCATCCAGATTTTTCTCAGCAGCAGCATGCACAGCATTTCTATGTTGCGAATTTGAATTTGGAAACAATTCATATAAAAGCAGACAACTGCATTTAAATATAGTCACTGTGATGTCCTGCTCAAGACCATTTTGGAACGAGCCATGCCTTTAGCAGTGATGTGTTCATACCATGCAAACATTATTGTTCTAATATGCAATATAAATATTTTAAATTATCAAAATAAATGAGCAGCTGCTTTTGAGGCAGAATTAATCCTGGGCATATGACACCACAACTACAGGATGTACAATGATTTATTCTTTCGCCAAATATTTAGTTAGCTTATTAATAAGTTAAAGGCAAGTATTTCCATTGCAGTAACATTGATGAACGTTAATGGAAAAAAAAAAAAAAAACTTTTTTGTATTTAATTTGTCATTCGACAAATTTAAAACTATTAGCTTAGGCCGCCTGTGCGTGAGCCAGGTGGCTGCTGGGGGTTACTTCATCTATCAGCCTACAGTGTGATTCCTGTTTGTTAACGACACGCGTTTCTACCTAGGTAAGATTGAGCTATTGGCTCAGACACACATAGTTATTTAGGTCATTAGTTAAATAAACCTAAATGTACAGCACCCAGGTTCCCATCGTTAAGCCACTAGTTAATTTATCTGGGCTCCATTAGTCCAGAAACACTTTTAACTCAGGTCACTAGTTTAAGCTATCTGGTCAACCGATCAGATAACCGCCCATGTTCTATGCCAGCCCCCAGCCGAACCTGCACAGGCGAATCCTCAGAAGTTCTGCAGGTATTGTGAAGAAATAAGCGAGGATAATAGCGAAAATGGCAGATCATTGAAATAAATGTTATGTTCCAGGCTGTGCAGGGGATGTGATGTGCAGGGATGGGTTGGTGTCTGTATTCAGAAAGGCACGGAAAACAAACAAAGCGTTCAAATAAAATAACGCGAGCCACTAAAGGGACATGGTTAGCTGCTTGCTAGCGGTAGCCTGTTACAGTACATAAGATTTCACTGACCACATAAACAGAGTAAGGAGAGATGACTGAGGATGATGGCGAATGATTTACAGATCCTGAGCACCACTGACAAGCATCTGATCTTGTAAAAAGTACTGCCACTGTAGTTTACACAGAGCATGTGCGATCGCAAATTTCAAAAGTGAAAAGAGCATTCGAAAGCATTTCAATACCCTGCATATTAATAGCGGCTCCCTAATGCCCGCATTTTATATACAGTATAATTACCCAACGATATAACTGCGAGAGACAGTATTGAAATATATATTTTCCCTGTGTTTCCTTCCTGCTGTGCGAGCTACTGAAATGAGCCGCACTGTGAAACAGCCAATCAGAGCAGAGCTCAACATTATTATTCATGACACTTCCAAATAAGGTAAAAACAGACCATTTAATTCTAGGGACAAGTCCTATGGTTGTAAATGGACATGTAAAACCGTTTCTGGAGATGTTTTGCCCTTACCTAAGCCACATACCTTCTATGTAGATATCAGAGAACAATTTAAAATATTGTATCAGTGCATTCTATGGCACATTTTCAAGCCATTCGGCAAGGCCAGCCCAGGCTCACATAGATAGCAAACACATGGTCTCACGGCTCTCCGGAGCAGCAGCAGTACATATGTCTTGGCAAGTTGTCATGATTAAACTATTTTTAATACTAGTCTAATTACTGGGGTTGTTCCAGACTGCCTAAAACAACTACAGTAACTCCATTATTAAACATGCCCAATCTTGATTCTTCGAATTTTAATAATTTTAGACATATCAAACTTACCATTTCTTTCTAAGATTCTTAAGAAAATTGTGTTGACCCAGCTGCAGTCCCATTTGATGTCAAATAATATTTTTGAAAAAATTCCAATCGGGTTTTAAGTCTCAACACAGCACGGAAACTGAACTTTTAAAAGTTGTAAATTATATTTTACTAGAAACAGATATTTGATATGGTTGACCACAACATCTTGATTTCCAGGTTGGAGAGCTGTGCTGGGTTACAGGGCAAGGTGTTGAAATGGTTTTAATCTTTTTCCAAGTGAACTGTACTGTTACCAAAATGTGACGTGTAAACTCTGCTGATTACTGATTGGCCGGAGAGAATCGTCACTACCTGCGTCACTCAACTTGCGACACAAACACAACAGAACCGCTAGATTTAAATCAGCAGAGCCAGGAGGATCGAATGCAACTGTTTTGAACGAACGAGAATTTTTTTTTTTAACAACTAAAAAATGGCTGTTTCGTGGTCTGTTGAGGAAGTACAGACGTTCCTCTCGTTGATAGCAGATGAGCGGATCCAGCGAGAGCTTGATGGTGCGAAGCGGAATGAAAAAGTTTTTTTAGGAGTCACGGCAGTAGAGGCGGCGCAACTATAACGACAAGGGAATAATCCCGCCCACTCTAAAGCGGTACTAAACTGCAGTGGAAATGCAAACCGAGCCGAGCAGAGTCGTACCACGCAGTGGAAAAGCGCCATTGGTCTCCTCTCTGTTCCTAGATCGAGGTTCCATTGCAGAGGTGATCAAGCCTGAGCTGTTGCCGGTCCTTTACAAATTACCAGCTTCTATTAGAGCTGCGCCCTCTTTGCCACAAATTGCCAGTTTTTAAATACCTGCTTTAAAAAAAAAAAACATATTTTGTCAATAGCTTTTATCTAGCCTTGTCAATTGTATTGTTATATTGTGTTTTGTAGGGGTGGGTGCTATACCGGTATGAACGTGACTACCGGTATTATGTTGTTCCATTATATGGATTTTGCTATACCGTGGATACCGTTATATATTCATGAACTCAAATTTTGCATTTATATTTTAACACAAATGAAGATAAATAGTCAAGGCTGAACGTTTTTGTCCTCCGTGTGCAATGCCATACTAGGCATTAGTAATCAAACACACAGAGCATCGTAACAAACCAAATTAATAGAGCACAAAACGCCTACTCCAGTGGTTCCCAAACTGAGGGATCGTGTACAGTCAGCAGATTATTTTGCAAAAGAAACCTCTGTAGGGTGATAAAGACTACACTGCATAATTTTCCCGCTTATCATGCGGCCACTTGTCTGATAAGTAAATAATTGAAGGCAAAATATTAATGTGACATTTAAATTACCTTAATATGACTTGCAGTACCTGCTTGAGCGCTCCGCTATCAGTTGTAGCAGTTCTGGTTGTATCAATAACAGACCACTAGATGGCGCGACTGAAGAATCAGAGTTGTATTGCAGAGAGCCATGTAGAAATATAAACGAACAATGCATGGTTCTGCTCCAAGCAAGAAAGTTACAAGTTTGTGAAAATACTGCCAGTGAAAATATTTTTCAATACAAAAGGGGGGCCCGGCAGAAAAAGTTTGGGAACCACTGGCCTTCTCAAACACACAATATTTAATTTAATTCATACAGGCCTGTTGCATGTTTGCACTTTTTGAGAAAAACAATGGCACAATAATAAAAAAAAAAGTCCAATCCCTCACTTTTTCTAGTTATATAAGGTTAAAATATTTTGCCTGTATTTTTTTTTTCTCATATAATATCGATATTGCCTGGACAGTGTAAAATATTGTGATATGAATTTTAGCTAATATCGCCCCACCCCTAGTGTTTTGTGGTTTCTTATTTGTTTTATTTTAGCTGTATTGTACAGCACTTTGGATCAACCGGTAGTAGTGTGAAAGTGCTTTAGAAAGAAAGAAAGAAAGAAAGAAAGAAAGAAAGAAATCAAATATGCTGATCAAGAAACATTTCTTATTATCAATGTTCAAATGTTCAGTGCTACCTAATATTTGTATTATTATTGTTTTTTAGGATTCTTTGATGAATATAAAAAGAAAGAAAGAAAGAAAGAAAGAAAGAAAGAAAGAAAGAAAGAAATCTAATATGCTGATCAAGAAACATTTCTTATTATCAATGTTCAAAACAGTTGTGCTACCTAATATTTGTATTATTATTGTTTTTTAGGATTCTTTGATGAATATAAAATTCAAAATAACAGTATTTATTTCAGGACATTATCAATTTTAATAAATCTTTATTAAATAAAAATATTTAGAGAGAGAGAGGGGGGTCCCATTTTGGTGTACGCAACAAAATAAATTTTAAATAATTTGATATACATAAAAAGCCAATTAAATGCAAGTAAAGGGACTACTTTAATGTCTCAAATAACTTTGTGAAAATAAAATGTCAACATATGGGTGAAATAATTGACCATTGTCATTCAGGGTAACAACAAACACAGATCCTTAAACAGAGTCTTTGAATGACATGTAATAATTCTGGTTCTAAATATGATACGATTTTTATTTTTATATCTGTTTTTTATTTTTTTTTATTGGAGTTATATGAACTTATTACACTGAATGCACTTTTTTTTGGTAACACTTTATTTTAAGGTGCCCTTGTTACACATATGTACTTACTATTATAATAACAATTAATTATGCATACACGTAGGGCTGGACAATAATTCAATATCAATATGTATCGCAATATAATTTTTTTTCAATAACGGTGATATGATTTTTAAACACATTTCCGATATACATTACCAGTTTCCCATACATTTATTTATTTTTGCCGTTTGACTTCGTTGAATAAACATGAGCACTGCACGTTTCAAAATCATAACACGGCGCGGGTGTTTTATATGTATGTATCTCTGAAGGGACTCGACCGTCTTCAGAAAAGTTTCGATGACATTTTCATTTGATCTGATAAAGTAGCATTCATGAGCGGAGCTGCTTTGATTACAGCCGTTACCGGGGAAACCGCTAGTTTTATCACTCTAAAAGCACCTCCTGCTGGCAGAGAATGAGTTTTCATTTTAAATAAGCCCGTCTCCAGCAACGTTTCCAGTTTTTTATTTTT